CTTTTTACGGAAGGGGAAAAAAAAAAAAAAAAAAAAAGTAAAAGTGCTTTAAATATAAATATGAATATAAATATAAAATGAGATATTGAGAGCACCCGGAAGCTAATCTTTGTTCCCTCTTCAAATGCCCATTCAGGAATCGCATGCCATTCTTTCTTGCCTCCTCCTCTCCTATTTTGCCAAAACTGTCGTCTCCCCATCCATTTGATCAATTAAAACGCCGCTACCATAGCCGCCGGCCATACCTCCGCCGCCTCTTCTTCTTCATCATCTTCAATTTGCCACAAGAAATAGGCGTAATAACCAATCACCAAACTACACACACAAACTGAGTCATTCAGAACCAGAGCCATTGAATTAGGACAATTTAGGGCTACATTGCTAGATTCAGAGATCGGAAGTTACCAGTCGTTAGGGGAGGCACGCACGGCGCGGTCGAAGTAATATTCAGCTCTTTGCTTGTCTTTGTGAGACTCCCACACCAGTTTTCCATACAAAGCCAACAACTCTCCGTCGCTTGGATTCGCCAATATTGCTCTGCTGTAGCATTCCTCTGATCTCACATGATCTTTCTCCACCTTTACACGATGGATCAAATCAAACAAAGTAAAATGTAAGAGCCGATTTCATTCGATTTCAGATTGAAAGAGACTTTCAAATTGACAATTCGAATATTCAATTACCTCATGTAAGAATTTTCCATAGTTTCTCAGTAACAGAGCGTCGTTAGGGTTCAACTTCAGCAACTCTTCGTAGTACGCTCCGATCTTATTACGGTCATTACTTCCGTCATAAAACGTATCTGTAAAAAATTCAGCGCCATCGCTGCAGCCGATTCCGGAATCCAAACATCCAGAGTCGTCCTCCATCGAATCACTGTCAAATTCATCCTGGTTCAAAAACTCCTCCTCTGGTATTTCAGAATGAGAGGATCGAGTCCGAGATCGAGATCCGACTCCTCCAAATTGATCATACGGATTCGAAACCTCATGCAGCGATCGAGAGATGTCGCTCTCCGATGACGCCCTTCGTATACCACTCGAATTCCTTCCTCTAGGATTATTCATCTCAAAATGCAGAGAGATCTTTGGAGACGAAACGGAACTCTTGTGGCCGGTGAAAACTCCATGCAACGGTCTGTAATTGGAGAAGGATGACGAAGCGGTGCCGGACGGCCAGATGACGGGAATGGAGACGGTTCTGAGGAGAGCCGATTTCATAGCTGCAAGTTTGCGAGGGATGTGAAATGGAACAGTTTTTTTCTTTTCTAATGAATCGCGAATACATTTATATAGGGGATTATATATGGTTGGATTTGAAGTTGAGAGCGTAAGAGATTGTGACACGTGTACGAACTTGCACGTGAATTGCTAACGAACAGGGAACTCCAGGGAACTCCGGGGAGCCGGTTCCTTATTTTATTTTTCTTTGAAAAACAATTTTCTACAAAATTTGCTTCATTTTCTTTTACGAAAATAAAACTCTTTTCCACGTGTCATGAGACATTTAAATCTTTTGGTCCTTTGCTTTGCTTTTAAAATTGTTTATAATATAAAAATATTGTATACAAATAAATAAATGGCCCCCAAGATATCTAGTATTTTCAGAAGGGCCCCATGAGACTATTTGGGCCTGTAGTTTCTGGTCTTTCTCCAGTAGTCCGCGCCCGAACCCGAAGTAGCTCCCGCCTCTCCAAGTCGCTGATCGCACGACGCTCTCTCTGTCGCAGTTCTCATCTTCTTTCTCCGCAGTCGCCAACTCAACGATTTTCCTCAGAGTAATTCAATTCTTTCTCTATTATCTTCGTTAATATGATTCCCAATTGATTCATCGATCTTGATTGTATAATTTTGTTGAAATCATCAAGATCTACACAGATTAACTTTGTAATTTCCCTTCAGAATTCAGAAACAAGCCCTGAGATTTGTCTGTCTGTTATTATTTCCTGCATTTTCTTAATTGGTATCCCAATCGGCAACACCATTGACTGTTTAGCAACGCCGATCGGTTATTTAGATTTGCATTTTATTCGGCCAATTTTTTGTATTCCAATTTCGGAGACTCTCCTGAGTGATTTGATTCTGCGCACTATATGCTCTTTTCGTATACATTGGATAATGCGGTTAATGTGGGTCGTAATCGCCACAATGTGTTACTGGTTACTCGGATTTATGCTATTGATTTTCAACTTTCATGTTATGGTTCTCTTTAAAGAGTTTTATGTTCTGATGATTTTATCTGATGGAACGCGAAGCTCTGAATTAGTTTAATGACTCTGATGAAGTCTGGAGTAGATCCGTTCTGGTTATAACACCTTGAGTTACCCCCTTAACATGAATGCTGTCTTTTTAGTAAAATTATAATGTGAAGCGAGTTTAGTGCTGGATTGATTGGATTTTAGTGTAGTTTCTTTGAAATATGTCTTCATTTCTTAGATTTGGGATTCTTCTTTTCGCTGCTGAAAAAGCGATTGCTTATTGCAATCTGCATCATGATGAAGTCTGAAGTTGTTGTTCTTTCTATGCAGCGTCATAGATCTTTCAGTGGAATGAAAAAACTAGAGATTGTTTCTGCAGATATGATATAGTTGATTGAGTTTCCTTGAATTAAAACGCATTCCATATGTTTGTGAATTTTAGTTTATGGGTTTGGTGTTGAGAGATCGATTGGAAATCTGTTAGTTTTGTTTACACGAGTTTTTCTTTTCTGTTGATAGTTTCATCTTCAAATGTCAATTTGAATACAAATTTGATCTGGGCTTTATCTCAAGATGATATTCTTTGTGTTTATATATATATTTGCATGAAGAATTGTTGTTAATGTGAAAACTAAATGTGTTGCAGATGTTTGACGATCGAGACCTGGGCTTCTTTGCAAATTTTCTGGGGATCTTTATATTTGTATTGGTAATAGCATTTCACTATGTGATGGCTGATCCAAAGTATGAGGGCAACTAAACCATCTCCTCCAATTTTCTTCTCCATGGAATGTATTGGTCGAGGTGAAGACATTTTTGCAGATATTTTAGCAGTTTTATAATAATAACTCTAAGTTAGCACTTTGCCTTTCAAAACAATGCAAAGATATTGTTAGCTCTAAGCTTTTCATTGCTTAGTTGGTTCTAAGCTTTTTATCCCTTACCCATCATGTTTATTGAAATGTAATATTTACTTAATATCAATTCTTTTTTTAAACATAATTCTAATTCCTTGCACTTAAATTTGTATGTATTCTTCAATTTTCTATCAATTTAATAGGTAATTGACGTGGCATAATGAAGATTATGAATAAATTGCTAAACTTTCATGCAATTTAACTGCACATAAATTTTACTGTCTTCGCTCCTCATATTAGATTTTTCTATAAAAAAAAAAAAGAACATTTTAATTATTCTATTGATACCAGAAAAAACTGCACACTGGATTTGTGCTTGTCCCACACGCTTTATTGTTCATGTCAAAGAAGTACTCGAGAGTGGAGATTGAATTATTTTCAATAACGTTTTTGTAATCTATTTACGCGAGAGTTGACCCACAATTTCCTTTCTCTTTTGATAAGGGTAGGAGAAAGCCAGATCTGGGCTCATCGACTCATAAAGTCGCAGGTGCACGCCTACATGGATTCGACCCAAGCTGAGGCAAGCTTTCGAGTCTCTTGACCTAGTAGCTTCTTTATTTGGGCCCAACCTTGCCAAGACTTTTGTATGGACCTGGGTTCGTTCTGGGGATTATTTTTCTTTTGAAATCACAAATCATTAGGGATTATTAACTTAGACCAGGCAGAAAATTTTAGTGACATTTGAAAAGGAAAGAAAAAAAACACAGATTAGAAGTTAGTTTCATTTACAAAATTATCTATTGAAACCCCTCTGAAATTTATTCCTCTCGGAATCTCTTCGGGCTGTCGTTCCTGATATTTGTCTTTCAAGTTATCTCATCAGCATTTTTATCGCGCGGTCCAAATCTAACCTCTTCTACTCTATCTATATTTCCTTCGACCTTTGAACCCCACGAGCCTTGTTTTCCGCTCGCTTGTTCTTATTTTTCCCTTTTGTAATATTTATGATGCTCTTAGATCTGTCCGATCTTCCTACTAACTTTCTCTTCCACTTCTCTTCGATCTGTTTTTTACTTTCTATTCTCATTTCTCCACAAACTTCCTCCATTCTGTAATGAGTCGTTTTTTAGCTTTTCAACTTCCACGAGCTGATGTTCTGTCGAGTTTAAAGAAACCCATTTCCTAGAAGCTGGAAAAACTGTAGCTTTTGTTTGATTCAGTGCCCATGTTTTTTCAATTAGGGTTTTCTGCGTGGCACTTTGATGATTTTGTAGCTCTCTGGAGGTAAGAATTTCTGGGTTTTTTTCGTGGTGAGTGAAATTGTTTGGAATGGATTATAATGGGGGAAACGTAGTCCATGTGATTCCCGGGACGAGCAGCGAGAATTGGCCTGGCGAAGTTTGGGCCACCGAAGACGAATACAGAGCTTGGAATAATGGCGTTGATGGGTTTGTCGATACGCCCTCGAATTCGAGTTATGATCAAAGGCAATCCCAAAGCCGGTCCGGCAGCGAACCCCCAAATAAGAAATCGAGAAGCTCTCAGGATGTTACGTCCTCGAATCGATCAAAAGCGATAGGTAAAATGTTCTTCAAGACCAAACTCTGCTGCAAATTCCGCGCTGGAACCTGCCCTTACATCACCAATTGCAATTTCGCTCATAGCATTGAGGAGCTTAGGCGGCCACCACCGAATTGGCAGGTATTAGGTTTGGTTCTTAGTTAATATTTAATCTTTGTTACGTTCTCTGTTTAATTGTTAGCTTGATAGCTGAAATTTCTTGTTGGGTAGTGTAGTTCGTAGTTCGTTCCTTAGCTTAGAGTTCAGCCATTTAATTACTGCTATACATTGGTATTTATGCTTCCTTTTGTACACAGAATTGGATGATTTGAGTATCATGAGTTCCTCATTGCATTGAGTATTGTTAGCAGGAAATTGTGGCCGCCCATGAGGAAGAAAAGGCGGTATTTTTAGAGCCAAGGGAGGAATTTCAGATACCTTCACTCGGGACATCAAATTTTGGTTCCGAGTCGCAGAGGTCATATAAAGGACGACATTGCAAGAAGTTTTACACCGAGGAGGGGTGTCCATATGGGGATGGCTGTACATTTCTTCACGACGAGCAGTCGAAGAATCGAGAGAGTGTGGCAATAAGCCTGGGTCCTGGTGGCTACAGTGGTGGCGGATCAGGAAATGGATCAAACACTAAGCCTTCGAATTGGAAAACAAGGATATGTAACAAGTGGGAGTTGACGGGATATTGTCCATTCGGAAACAAATGTCATTTTGCTCATGGTGCTGCTGGTATGTTTTCTCATTCCTTCGTTAATGAAATTGTTGTACATGGGCCTGCACTATACAGAAAAATTCTGCATCAATTTCAACCCTTCTTTTGGTTGTTAGTATAGTTTCCATTATCTGTTTAATCGCTTAATCTGTCAGCACTCTAAGAATCCCTGGGTTAAGCGTTTTAATAGAAAGTGCTCTTACCATGCCCCATAGGATACATCTGCTCAATCTTGCTTGACTTTTGTTTTAACGTTCAAGAACAATGGTTTCATTATGAGATTCTACATTGGTTGGAGAAGGGAATGAAGCATTAAGGGTGTAGAAACCTTTCTTTAGTAGATGCGTTTTAGAACTTTAAGGGAGAGCCCAAAAAGAACATTATCTACCAACGTTGGGCTTAGGTTGTTACAAATGGTATTAGGGTCAAGACACCGGACGGTGTGCCAGCGAGATGTTGGACCTCAAGGGGGGAGAACGAAACATTCCTTATAAGGGTGTGGAAACTAGCAGACGCTTTTTAAAACCTTGAGAGGAAGTCTAGATGGGAAAGCCCTTACATTTTGTTTTGTATTTTTGAGTGGCTTAGATTTTAAGTCTATTCCATTTACTCTCCATTGCGATTTGGCATGCATTATTCTGTTTTGTGTTTCCACTTTCAAGACTCCAAAATCAATTGATTGCAAAGATATCTAACTAAGCTTCAATTCTTTTTTATGATTTTTCATGCTTTGTTTCTCCGAGTAATCGTCGTTTATCTGAACTTTGATATAGTCATATAGGTCGAGTCAGCTAATCGAGTAGATTGAAAAACATAAGCATGTAATAGTGTCTAGAGTTCTGTAGTTTTAGTGGTTTTGGACTTAATACTTCGAATTAACCACAGAATTGCACCGTTATGGTGGTGGACTTATGGAGACAGAAACTAGAGACTCTTCATCTGCTCCTCCTGACCAGAAGCAGGGAGTATTACCGAAAGCTCCTGGCGATACGGTGGTTGCTTCTGTTCCTTCAGTTCCTCATTCAGACGTTTATCATGTCGTGATTCCATCTCAGAGGTCAACCATTGTAATTCAAAGGTCAGGGCAGAGAACTCATCAGAAATGGAAGGGGCCTGATAAAATCAGTAGGATATATGGTGACTGGATCGACGACAACGAATAATATTATCCAAGCAATCACCGAACGTGAATAATGAGAACTTTAAGTTCCATGGTTAACAAGCATCATAATGGACTTTGTCTCTCATAAGTTGGCAGATGAAGATTCTGTTTGTTCAGGTCGAGTTTTGGTCGGTTCTTTACTTATTCTCGTTTCCAACCCACTTCACTTCCGATCATCAAAATTTGAGGCATATGGTCTTTATCTGTTAGTAGTGTCTTTATTTCTGTTGTTACTATATGTAATCCTTCTCATTCAAAGAAAAGGGAAAATGTATGATTGTCACCACCTTCCCAGATCATCACTGAGTGATTCTTCTGTTTTCTGGGAAAGTCTTTAACCTTATTGTAATGGGAATATGAGTTAGTTCTTCACATGAGGCAGGCAGCAATTTTTATACACCGACATTGTGATCATTAAGGATCTCCTAGCGTTGTATTGGTCGTTGGACCGTTACGTTGTTCCCTTTTTGTATAATGAGTCGTAGGTAGCAATATTCTCGTAATAGTTATCGTTCGTAGTTTGTAGCTTCATCCCTTCATTTGTTGTTCCTTTAGATTGTTATTTATGTTTTGAAACTTGTTATTCTCTGTTGTTGTTGCTGCATTAAGATATGAGTTATTGGTTTGAAACCCAACTCTAAATTACATGTGGTTTGATGCATAAGGACTTGCAGAGAAGAGGTTTGATTCCCCACAAAAATAGAACAAAACCCACAAAAGAAGGATTGAGAAGGGAGAGTGTTGGCCAAACAAAGCCAACCAATACCTTAAACCACACAAACAAGAACCAGTTATATCAAGGCGAATCAACCAACCAATGTGAGTTTCCTTCTTAAATCCCATTCCTTTTCTTGTTCTTCTTCCGGACATTCCTCTCCTTCAGGTCCTTTTCCGGCCAATGTCCACCGATTTGACTCGCATTCCTTTCCCCTCACAAGACCACGCCAGTCCTCCTGTCACCATTGTCCTCACACTCATCCTCGTTGCCTTCCTCTTCGTCGGTTTCTTCTCCATCTACTGCTGCCGCTGCGTTGTGGACTCCTTCCTCCATTCCCGCAACGTCCGCCGCTCCACCTCCGGCAACCTTCTCCACCCTTCCAACGATTCCCCTGCCGCCCCTACTGGCCTCGACCCACTTCTCATCAACTCCTTTCCCACTTTCCCATATTCCAAAATCAAGGAATTTCGCAGTGACAATGTGGGATTAGAATGCGCCATTTGCCTTCTCGAATTCAACGACGAGAGCTTCCTTCGCCTTCTCACTGTTTGCTACCATGTTTTCCATCAGGAGTGCATTGATCTCTGGCTCGAATCCCACAAGACCTGCCCTGTTTGCAGGAGAAATCTCGACTCCGATTTGCGGAGGAATTCTGCTGATAAGACCTCTGATCCACCACGAACTTCCCACCGTGAGTCAATTGAAGATGCTATTAGTATTGATATTGATGAGGACGCCGACGCCGATGCCGATTCCGATGCCGATGACAATGAGGGCTCTTGTTCGAACAAGGGAAAACAGAGGATTGAAACAGAGGAGGTGGAGAAGGAAGAGAGTAGGAAGAAATTCTCGAGATCGCATTCGACAGGGCATTCGATTGTGAAGGCGAAAAGAGAAGGAGAAAGTCGGCATAAGTTGATATTACCGGAGCACGTGAAGATTAAGATTCTAAGAGGACATAATTGGACGGGGAGTTGCGTGACATTTGAGGAGTTGGCGAGGAACCCTAGCAATGGCGGTGGGTTTTCAAAGCTCTGTGAAAGGGGTGATCGGAATAACTTGCAGAAGCCGGCATGTTCAGTTTGATTTGGTTTTGATTAGTTGAGTCTCGATCCCTTTCTACTTCTCCTAGATTGTTGTTTTTTTGTTTAGGTTCTCTACTTATTTGTCTTTTAGATTTCTTTTTCCTTTGTAAAAAGTTTTTATTTGGTTTTCTTGACAGAAAAAAAAAAACAGAATACTCAATGAGAATTACATACAGGGCGCTGCTGGTTTACTTGCCCGTAATCAAAATAGCTTTATCCAATACAAAGTAATGTGAAGTGCAAACAGTTGCAGTAGTTCCTCCAAATTATGAATCACTGTCATACTTTTTTAACCGTCAGACCTTAGATAAGCCCATTACCCATAAACCAAGCCCAATCCGGTAGCAATGATAGGCCCATAAACCAAGCTCAATTTTGTAGCAATGATAGGCCCACAAACTAAGCCCAATCCGGTAGCAATGGTAGGCCCAGAAACCAAGCCCTGTAGCAATGATAGGCCCACAAACTAAGCCCAATCCGGTAGCAATGGTAGGCCCAGAAACCAAGCCCAATCCGGTAGATAGGCCCACAAACTAAGCCCAATCCGGTAGCAATGGTAGGCCCAGAAACCAAGCCCAATCCGGTAGCAATGGTAGGCCCATAAACCAAGCCCAATCCGGTAGCAATGATAGGCCCATAAACCAAGCTCAATCCTGTAGCAATGATAGGCCCACAAACTAAGCCCAATCCGGTAGCAATGGTAGGCCCAGAAACCAAGCCCAATCCGGTAGCAATGATAGGCCCACAAACTAAGCCCAATCCGGTAGCAATGGTAGGCCCAGAAACCAAGCCCAATCCGGTAGATAGGCCCACAAACTAAGCCCAATCCGGTAGCAATGGTAGGCCCAGAAACCAAGCCCAATCCGGTAGCAATGGTAGGCCCATAAACCAAGCCCAATCCGGTAGCAATGATAGGCCCATAAACCAAGCCCAATCCGGTAGCAGGCCAACCATTAGCCCAAATTTTTGGGACTTATATACTGAGGAACAAAGAAGAAAAAAAAAAGAAAAAAAAAAGGAATGCAAATTTTAGAAAGGAAAGTTGATGGGACCCATTTCCCATAACATGAAAAAAATTGTCAACCTCTTATTTCAATTATCATTTTTATTTCCCACTATATTACAAAACTTCCTCTCATTCTTCCATGTCTTTTCTCATTTATTTTTGTTTCCTTATCTTTTTTTCTTACACAAAAACAAACAAAATTATACATCCATACCATAATAAAATAACTACCCTTCTATTTTCTTTTTTCAATAAAAAAAAAAAACTATTTAATTAGTAAAAATTATTGATTATAATGACATGTTAATATTTATAATTATTAGTTTTAATAAATTATATAATTTTAAAATTTAAATTTATGGAGGGAAATTAATTTTTTCCGTTAATAATCGGAAATATATATTGAAAAGGAAAAAAAATAATAAAAAAAAATGGAATTAAAATAGGATGGGGTGAGATTGACTTTGTGAAAAGCAGGTGGTCACATGGATTAGGGACAGAGGTCTGACACATTGGACCACACTTTCAACTTCTCCTTCAAAAATCTTAACTTTATTTTTAATCCACTTTCTCTCTCTACCCTAATATACTCTCTCTCTCCCCCCCCCCCTTTTATTCTCATTCTCTCTGCTACTCATCATTTAATGACTTTGTATCTATCATCATTTCTTCCAACTATATATTATAGTTTTTAAACCATTGCAAATGTTAATTTCATCCCATTTATGTTATTTTCAATCTCGAAATCTATAAATATTTTTGAAATATTGTTTCATCGATGAATATGGTTTATATAAGGTGGTAACATGGTTTCCTGGGTTGGGATACATTAAAAATCGAAACTTTTTTGAAATTAAGGTTCGAAAAATGAAGTTTAAGACATGTCTGAAACACAGCTTAAGTAAGTTGTCCCTATGCATGTTTGTATTTGGATTGTTTGGTCCCCCTCACCCTTCCATCTCTTTCTCTCCTCTGTATAATCTGCTCCAATTTTTGGCACTTTCTATGATGGTATCTATATAAAAACTATGCTAAATTATAAATTTCGTCCCTATACTTTAAAATAATTCAAATTTAACCCATGAAATGTTATAATTAGCGATCTAATTCTGTGCCTTCTCACGTGAAACTCTATATATCTCTTTCCTTTTAAAACCATTTTGAAAATTTTAGCCTTCTCTCAATTTCATTATATCTACACACCCTAACCAAACAACAACCTTGGAGCTTCAAAAACATGAGTATTGATGCTCTTTCCTCCAATGACCTGTTCAACTTAATCATCTACGACGCTATCTCTCCGACGCCGAACACTTCCCACGGCATCTGCGACTCGTCGGAGACTACTTTTTTCTCCGACGAAAAGGGTTTGAAGCATCAAGATAACCACCAACATGGCACGTTGGAACACCGGCCAAAACCCAATTTGGCGAGAAAACGCCACCCGAACGAGGCGGAAAGCAGCAACTGGGGAGCAGTCGGGTTGCAGCAAGGGAAGAAGAAAAGGAAGAGAAAACCAAAAGCTTGTAAGAACAAAGAAGAAGCTGAAACACAAAGAATGACACACATTGCTGTTGAAAGGAACCGGCGTAAGCTGATGAGTGAGCATCTCTCAGTGTTGCGTTCCCTCATGCCTGAATCCTATGTCCAAAGGGTTTGTTCTCTTAATTTAATAACTTCTCCTTAATTAATGCATGAGATTTAAATTAATGTTCATAATTATGTCTTTAAGTTCATAACCATTCTAATTTTTTTAATAGTGTTGGTAAAGCTTTGTGTAAATAGAAAAAAGAAAAAAAGCTACTACTTTTGTTCATATTTACCCTATTAATCTCAATTATGCCAATTGGTGGTTCAATTATTTCATTTTATGTGAAAGGTTCAATTTTTCCTCCCTTTTTGAATAGACCCATTTACAATTAGAGCTAGAAATTGAGGTCTTATCCTAAAATCATGATTGTTGATAATAATGTGTGTTGGTTGTATGAAGGGTGACCAAGCATCCATAGTAGGAGGAGCAGTGGAGTTTGTGAAGGAATTGGAGCATGTTCTATCAACTCTTGAAGCCAAGAAGCTGCAAATTTTGCACCAAGAAATAGAAGAAAAACAAGAGAATTATAAGAATGAAGATTCAGTAAGGAGGAGGTTGTTTTCAGATAGTAACAGCTCTCAGTACTCAGCCAAATCCAAGGCTTCTTCAGCTGACATTGAAGTCACTTTGATTGAAACTCATGCGAATCTCAGAATCCTTTCAATAAGAACGCATAGACAGCTGTTGAAGCTCATTGCTGGCTTGCAGGCTCTTCGTCTCACTATTCTTCATCTCAATGTCACGGACTTTCATCCATTGGTTCTTTACTCTATTAGTCTTAAGGTATATATATATATGTCAGTTTTGATGAAATGGGCAATGAAATTTAATGATGATATGCATGAAACTGTGAAAATGCAGGTGGAAGAAGGGTGCCAACTGAGATCAGTGGATGACATAGCAGCGGCAGCACATGAAATGGTTAGAATAATTGAGGAAGAAGGGGTTTTGTGTTAATGTAAACAGTTAAGCTTTGAGATTTGAATGGGAATCATCCATTAAAATGCCAAGTTCTGTGTGTGTGTGTGTGTGTTGTGTGTGTGAGTGTGCATGTGGGTTGGTTTGGTGTGATTTGTAAATTAATATATTGTTTTGTAGCTATCAAGGGTTTGTCTTGTTTCCTTTAGTTTCCTTTTCTTTGGAGACCACACAAAAGGGAGAGAGGGACAGATGAGAAGAAAAAGTTATCAAAGGGATTGGCTTGGATTCACCTCTCTTCCTTTGCTTCTTCCTCCTCAACTTTTGATCACCATTCAAGTTAGTTATAGGATTCTTTTTTTTGGAGGGAGGGTTGTGTTCATCTTGTTTGTCCTCACCCATACAATGCCAAATATTGAGTTGAGAATCAGAGATTCCACGTCAGTTGAAGAGTAGAACGAGTGTTAACGTAGATGCTGGGTCCCGAAAGGGGATGGAGTGTGAGATCCCACATCGGTTGGAGAAGAGAACAAAACATTCTTTACAAGGGTGTGGAAACCTCTCCCTAGTATACGCGTTTTAAAAACCTTAAGGAAAACCTCAAAAGAGAAAGCTGAGAGGGGACAATATCGACTCATGGTGAACTTGGGGCGTCACAGATTTATTCAAAATATGGTAACTATGTAATTTAAGGATATTAAGGTAAAATATAGACATGATTATTAAAGTGACAGTAGGTCACGACCTACGATAGTCCTTCCTAATTCACTATCGATGATTGGGATGGTTTAGAGCGTACAAAGTCATGTGCTATTGGTTATGCCATCTAGTCGTTAGGTTGTGAAATAATGCATTAGGTTGGTGCGGAAGACAATGACATATTACAATGTATCACTTCTAATATCTTATATAACCATCTATCCATAGCTCTAGCATAATCTCTTATAGCATTGCGTTTTTTTCAAAACTTTTGAGTTAGGTTTAGATTGAGACTTCAACCTTAGTAACCCAAGCTATCGAGTCACTACACCGAGTGAGCGAGCTACAAACTGTGTTAGATAACAACTAGCAAAGTAGCCGAAGGGGATTGATATTTTAAAATCTCAAGCATGGCACCAACTTTTAAAAATTTGTAAAAGGTAGTAGAGATTCATAACGTATGTTGATCAAAGAGATTACGGATGTTGTTTTCAAGGTGATGATGAGAGTCATGAGAGCAGTCTTATCTTTCTCTGTGATAATGGAAGCACAGTGAAACAATTATTGGAAAAAGAAGTGACATTCATACTTTTTAGCATTGAACAGAGAAAAAGGTGTAGCAGCTAAAAGGGTTTATTTAAATTGTGCCATTCGATGCATAATTTTGTTCTTATTATTCCACAGTTTCATCTCATCATCATCCTTTCTGCTATATGTTTTGTTTCTTTATACACATCAGTCTGTATCTCATTAATTCCACTTTCTTCTTAGATATTACTGCTTCTCTCTCGTCACCTTGCAAAACCAGCAGCCCAAAACGGCCAAAGTCAAAATTTGCTCACAGGATCTCATAGTGTCTTTATACAAGAAGCAATGATGAAAGAAAGACACAACTGTGACAATTGAATGACAAAGCAAAAACCATGGATGATCTTCACAAAAACCCATAACCAACCATTAAGGGAGAGGATTGAAAGCAGCTAAACGAAGCCTATGGTGTATGTTCACGGTTTTCTCTCTGTTGTTAATGTCAGACAGGGGCAAGTCCTCTGTGTTCTCTTCCATGTTTCGTGAGAGAAAATCTTCCACTTGAGAATGATCTCTTCATTGAGACAGGACTCATCACACAATGTAGGATTCTTTTTCTATGATTTGACTTGCTGTCTTCTCCCATTGAATGTTTGGATGATCCAACATCACCTGAGCTTCCTGCTTCATCAATACCTCCAAACTCATCTGCGATAATGATATGGTTTTGGCTGCAATGATCCATTGAAATGGACCTTCTAATTTGCTGCAATCTTCCATCTCTAAGCTCAATGAAAGTATCTCTTTTCACCAAATTTCCAAGGTCACTGAAAGCGCGAACTGAGTTCTTAGCATTGTCATTGCCAAAACTTCTTCCAGGTTCCTGTGAAATACCCTCATGGTCATTTGCCTGAGAGGTCTCTGGAATGGCCTCATTAGTTGTGGGGTTTCCAGTGGTTGCAGGCAGTTGAAGTGGAGAAGAAGCAGTGACAGAGACGATGTTTGCACGGCACAACGGGCAATTGGAGTGTGATTTGAGCCAAGTATCAATACATTGAAGATGAAAAGCATGGCTGCATTTAGGCAACAACCTAAGGTTCTCATCTTCTTGAAACTCACTGAGGCAAACAGAGCAATCAGAGCCTTCAACCAACCCATCTCCTCTCTTGTACTTGCAAACCGTAATGCACTTGATCAATGCTTCATCCAAGCCAGTAGTGGCGACATGCCACGGCTCGTGGAGTGTTGGGTTGTGAGTATCTTCAAACTCCTGATTTGGGTCATGATCTTGAGTCCTAGACAAGCGGCTCGTGTTGCCATAATACTTTGAAATGATGGTGTAATAGGTTATAAGAAGAAAAGCACTGGCCAGAATTCCAATAATTGCAATCACAAGAGGTGAAAAATTTGGGCCTGAATCATCATCTGGAAACTCTAAGGGTGGTGGAGGTGAAAACATGATGTAACACCACTGAGGACAATATACACTACAGAACCCTTGAGAGCAATCTTTATTGCTCATATATGGTATCCAAGTTTTTGGGGTGCCATAAGATCCCATCACTGTTCTAAGAGAATTTAAGGAAAAACTAACACAATCAATGCCCCAAATATCTGTTTCTTCAAGAAATGAACGGGTGAGATTTCCAAAGAAATGGGCGATTTAATTAAACAATTCACACAACACAAGGATCACACGCTTCCCTGGAAGCTCCAAATGGTTGGGTGCGGCATTTTATCAAACAGTTGTCAGATAGAAACAAAGCAAAAACTAAAAACATAATATTACCTGAAGATCACACCCCAATTGAGCAGCTCACAAACACTGATGGAAACAAAAACGCAGAACACAAAATTGGGCACTTAATGTAAATGAAGAAGGGATGGATGATAATGTAAATGGGTTGTAGTCTTAAGGATCCCTCCTTTTCTTTTTGTTGTTGTACTTCATCATCTTTTTCTTTTTCTGCGGCTTGCTTTTGGGAAAGACAGCTTGTTGACTAAGGCGATGATGCTGGTGGGGGAATTTATTAAAGTAATAAATGCTTTCTGGTATGGCTGAAGCTTAGTTTCATGGAGGACTTTTCATGGGACTCCTTCCAATTTCCAAGCATTCATTCATAAATACCCACCAAACAAAAAGCACTCAAATTTGTTCATGTTCATCTTCCGCTAACTTAATGCTCCATCGTTTCGGCCGCCAATCTTGGTAAAACAGTTTCCTTTCTTTCGGTCTGAATCCAAAAGGCCCAAAGATTGTGACACACCATATCATCGCTCTACCACCATCCCAAACAAAGCATATGACTTGGTTGGAATATAGTGGGCTTGGTCTTGGGCCTGGGCTAGGTTTATGTGGGCTTGAGCCTGGGCCTAGTTTATGTGGGCTTGGGCCTGGTTTGAATATAGTTTGGGGTAGCCATGAGATTGTCTCTCTGGTTCAAATAACCAAAGACAAGACCTGTTCTTCCTTACTCCCACAAAACAACAGCCTCCCAGAAATGGCACTCATCAAAACAGTAATCGGAGCTATAAATTTCATAGCCATGCTCCTCTCCGTCCCCATCATCGGCGCCGGAATATGGCTGGCCACCCAACAAGACAATGCCTGCGTCCAAATCCTCCAATGGCCTATCATCTTTTTCGGCGTCATTGTCCTTATTGTTGCCGTCGCCGGCTTCATCGGAGCCTTCTGGCGCATCAGCTGGCTGCTGATTGTTTACCTCATCGCCATGCTGGTCCTCATTGTGCTTCTGGCTTGCTTGGTGGGTTTTATTTACATGGTCACCATTAGAGGGTCTGGGCATCTGGAGCCCAACCGGGCTTACTTGGAGTATCATCTGGATGACTTTTCTGGGTTTTTGAGGCACAGAGTTGAAAGCTCGTTTAAATGGGATTTGATTCGGAGCTGCTTGAGTTCTTCTAGTACATGTGGGCAGTTGAATCAGAGCTTTCGTATGGCTCAAGATTTCTTTAACGCTCCTATTTCTCCTCTCCAGGTATCTGTTTCGTGATATAGTAATTATGTAATAAAAGTTTTGATTAATTTTTTGTTTGTTTTTGTTTTTTAAGTCAGGATGCTGCAAGCCGCCGACGCTGTGTGGGTACACATTTGTGAACCCAACATACTGGATAATGCCGATAAACAATGCAGCCGACATGGACTGCTTGAAGTGGAACAACGATCAAACCCAGCTGTGTTATGGCTGTGACTCTTGCAAGGCAGGGTTGCTGGAGAGCTTGAAGAATCAATGGAGGAAGGCTGATATTGTGCTGCTCTTGGTGCTGGTTGCTCTCATTTCTGTGTATTTGATTGCTTGTTGTGCGTTTAAGAATGCGAAAACAGAGAAGCTGTTTGACAAATACAAGCAGGGCCGTGAAAGCCAAGGCTATGTCTGAATTATTACTATTCTTGTTATTAGGGTTTGTGTTGGTCTACGATGTTTGTTTGATCCAAACAAGGATATGGTTGAATTAATGAATATTTTAAAAGAAGAGGAGTTTTGGGGCCTTGTGTATTTATTGATTGGGGTTGAAATTTGGGTAAAAGAAGGACATGATTTCAGGAAGGGGCACCGAAAGCTGATGCTTACTTTTGAAAAATGGTGACAATATTATTGAGAAGCGCACGCACCCCGAGGTGAAACATGTTCTTTCTAGTGACGAGCGATCATGCAGCCACCAGCGTAGACACCCACCTATTTCCCCTCCTCCATGCGATCTCTGTTCAGCTATGGTAACAGCGGCGATGATTGTATTCTTCAATGGCAGCGAAGGACGCAGGCACCCACTGCTCGATGGCACACCGACAAGTGACAACTTCAGTTGCAGGGGCGCAATTGGTGCGATGAGTCCGCATTTTTGTAGCGTCTCTCTCACTCTCTCTCTCATTTTCCCAACAGCAAACCCCAATTCGTGCGACGTCCAGCCACGATGAGGTCAGGGAGAAGCAGTTTTAGTTGTGTAGCGTCCAAGTTCTGGCATGGTTCCATTTCTAGCGTTATGACTATTCTTTAATGATTAATAACAATTTTAATACTTATTAGTCCAATCTTAAATAATATATACATTGTTATACAACTAACACAAAAGAGCATCATGAAATAAGCTAAATGATCCAGCCGTTACTGTCTAACATGTTACTTTTCCACGTTCTTATAAGAAATATCACCATCCGATGTCTGATTCTGATATCATTTGCAACCATCCAAATCCACCGCTAACAGATATTGTTTGCTTTGGACTGTTATGTATCGTCGTCTGCTTCTCCGTTGTTAAAACGCGTCTGTTAGGAATAGGTTTCCACACCCTTACAAGAAATGTTTCGCTCTTCTCTCCAACCGATGTAAGATCTTACAATCTACCATCCTTGGGGTCAACGTCCTCGCTGGCATACTACCCAGTGTCCAGTTACCATTTAACAGCTCAAGCTCGCCACTAGAAAATATTTTCTTCTTAATCCAAATTGATTGGAGAGGGAAACAAAGCATTTTTTTATAAGGGTGTACAAACCTCTCTCTAGTAAATGCATTTTAACACTGTGAGGTTGATGGCAATACTTAATGGGCGAAAGTGGACAATATCGGTTAACAACAGGCTTAGGCGGTTAAGAATGGTATCATAGCCACCTCAGGCGATGTTCTAGCAAAGACGTTAGACGCCGAAGCCCTAGCAAACACGTGGAAACCTTCGTTCTGAGAATGTGGGGTGAGATCCCAAATCGACCGGAGAGAAAAAACAAAACATTTCTTGTAACAATGTGGAAACCTCTCCCTCCCTAGCAAACACGTTTTAAAAGCTGTAAAGATCGACAGTGATACGTAACATGCCAACTAATAGTAAATTTTAGTTAGTAGTAAATTTTAGTTGCTACAAAGGGAGAAAATACTACAAAATATTTGATTTTTTTAATTGAGAACATTAATATGTTGTTGGTGGGTAGACATTAATGGTAATCATGAGTGCCTAATTAAGCCCTAGATGTTGAAGACTGTTTATGACAAGCGAACCCATAGTTTTATAAAATAAAAGATGGGCCAATCCTTAACGTTAAATAAGTTGAGTTGTAGAAGAAGCCCAAAAATGGGGTGTGTCGTAATGGGCCGAAGTGGGAAGAGTGTGTGAAAATGAAATGAAAGAGAAAGGAATGGGGAGAATACACTTGAGTCCACCTTATCTTCATGTTCCAGTAAACATCAGACCAACAGTAGGGTACAATACATTACGTGTTGTAAGCTTAATAAACTCTTCCTTTCTCTCTTTTTCTTTATTATTATTTAAACACTTTCATTCTCTCAAGTACACCAAATATCCCAATTCTTTTTTGTTTTTTTTGTGTCTATACAGATATGTGTGTGAGGAGCAGGTAAATGTTGGTCACCAGAGACATGACCGACCAATCAAAATGGGCCATATAACGAGTTGGGATTGTCACCAATTTGAAAGGGAAAGCCTGGGCGTGGGGGCCAATATGGTGTATGAATCATGGAAACTGCTGCGCCTGTGTTTTGTTTAATATCAAACTCAACCATAAACTCGTGACATCATCCCTTACAACACCATGCCTTTCAATTTGGAACGTTAGTGGGCGCTATGCATGGAAGGAGGTTTCCCCAAACCCTCCTTTCCTCAGCCTTTTATTTTATTTTATTTTATTTTATTTTATTTTTAATTTCTTTTATTTCAATTCCCATTTTCTTTCCTTTCCTAAATTTCCACCCAGTATGTAAAGAGAATCTCCACATCACGCCCATACTTCCCCATATGTTTCTCACACGTGTAACTCACATCCTGACACTTCCTCCAAAATTCCTACACACTTCCACGACACGTGCCCTCTTTCTCTCCACTTGACTCCCCGTCTTCTCATCACAACATCTACCACGTGTCCACTCCTCCTCCCTAATCTCGTTCTCTCTCTTGATTACCACTAATTAAACACCATTAAACTTAAACTTCACCTTAACAACACTACAGCACAAATAGTAAACCACACTAAAACATCAAAAATCACAACACGTGGGAACTCACGTGTAAACCAACTGAATCCCCACGTAAAAGTCGTGATCCGCGCACGCATTATGAGGACCCCCAAGTTTTCAGTCAAAATCAATCTTTTAAATTTGAACGCCACATGGTAAAAATAAAAAATATTAATTATCAACATTAAATATTACCGAACCGAATTATGGAGCTGTCGCAGGCTTAACACACACACCGTTCTTAGGGCTTCCACTTCATCGGGACTCCGATCGCAGGCTTAACACACACACCGTTCTTACGGCTTCCACTTCATCGGGACTCCGATCGCAGGCTTAACACACACACCGTTCTTACGGCTTCCACTTCATCGGGACAACATCCAACGGTTGTTAAATCCACACGTGGGCTCCGGTACACGCATGATTAGAATGGGAAACCCTTTCGGCTAAGGAACCGCCTTTTGTTTAAAATAAAATAAAATAAAAAACACCTTTCAATTTTGTGGGCGGCTGACTCACTTTTTACACTCCCGGGAAATCCAGTCGCTTACCTTTTTCGCCAACCACTTATATAACGGCACGTGGACGTCAGGACAAAACACCCCCACACAACCGCCCGCCACCGGCTGCTGTGAAAATGAAAATAACCCTTGCACTGTTCCTACGAAACGGAAAATAACTGAATTCTTTTTACCATCTGAATTAAATTAAATTTGGGAGAAAATATAACAAATATGGATATATATATATATATAAAGTCTATTTATTATTTTTATTTCATTCCTTGTATAAACATCATTCCTAAGCTACAACCCAAGGAGGAAGGTAAAATAATAAAATAAAAACATTAAAATTTATAAAAAGAAAAAACAATATTCACATCTATAAAAACCCAAAACTCAAGTATAACTAAACTTCTAATCAGCACCGTCCTTCCTATTTTCATAATTATCTTCTACTTCTATAGAACACAACTCACAATCTTTTTCCCCTTTTGCAATCAAGTCCCTCGCCTTTTACTTATTTCCACGGCCTCTCCTCCGACCACGACCAACAGCAACAGATGCAGCGAGCCCAATCCAAAACTACATTATATGAGTAGAGCATCATCTCGGTGTTCAAATTAGGGAAAGTACAGGATGCAGCGATGTTCTTTTAAATAAAAAAGGGTTTGATGATGATTTTCTTTTTTCAATATTCGATCATGAGTCCACTCATTGGAGCTCTATGTGGAATCCCTTTTCGTCGTTTCGCCGTTCTGTAACTGACCAAAGTTGGGGGTGGCGTTGACGGCGTGAAGCTCTGCACCACTTTGTTCTTGTTTTTGTTCATCGCTCTTCCTTGGCTGCTACTGCTGTAACACGAATCCTCGGAATCCGACCCCCCCATCACTCGCGGTTTCTTCTCGAAATTCTTCGATGTTCCCACAATCTAAAACAGCACAGAAAATCCCCACAATTCAATTTATTGAAGAACTCATGAATGGCATTGATGAGAAATTTTAGGTGGAGTTACCTTGCAGCCAAGAGAGCAGAATCGGAAAGAATCGAGGAGGCTGCGTTCGCAGACTTCACAGGTGTTGGTGACGCCTTTGCCGGGCCTAGGCTGAGGGCGTTCGTTCAAGAATACGACTCTGGCGCTGTTAATAATGTAGGTTTGGACGCCGGTAATGTCGAGGACTTTCTGAATCTCCGATACCCTTATCACATCGTGGTATGAGGACCTTCTAATCTGTGGCAAATAGAATCAGAATGGAAAAAACAGAGCAACCCTGTCAGTGATTTCGAACGGTTAGTAATGGGTTTGTGCGAGAATTTGATTTAGAAATAGTGCATTTGATGAAACCAGTGATGAAAGGGAAAATCCCCCACGAGTTTTTCCCTTGAAATGAAAAATTACCAAAAATAAAAGAGAAATAAATCGAACCTGAATAGCGCGATGGTCTTTGTGATAAGCGAGACAGAGAGAACATAAGGCGCCATTCATGCAATCCAAACAGTACATATTACATTCACTCTTGTGGGAATCGGCATGGAACTTGCATTGAACAAAGAATCTTTCTCGAAGCAGAGGTTTCAGCCATGGCGGCCATCTATTATCTTCATCCTCAGGTCCTCCAGCGCCCTGTTCCACAAAACAAACAAACAAACAAACAAACCCCAAATCAGAATCCACCATTGAAACACAAACAAACCCAGATTGGGAAAAACACTAGAAAACAGAATGCCCATAACTCAAAACACAAAGAATTATAGAAAACCTAGAGAAATTATACCATGATTCTTCTGCTCTTAGGCTTGATTTCTCGGACAGTAGCTTCCTGATTCTCGATAGCCAGCTTGAAGATGAGGAAGTAGCAGAGTGTAATGCGTAGAAAGAAGAAGAGATTGGGGCGGCGAGAGAGGGAAAAGGGTAAACGGGCTCTCAATTGGAAAGAAGAGGAGTTTTTAAGAGGGGGAGAGAGAGAGAGAGAAGTCGTTCTTATCTGCAAAAAGTCTAAAGCGAGGCAAAAAGGTCCGAAGCTGAAGCAAAAGGAAAAGATGCGTTGGGTGCAAGGAACTCTTCTCCTTCTTTCCTTTATAAATTGGGTTTCATTTTCGTGTTTGCTTCGGTCTTATCGCATATTCTTATTTTATTTTATTTTCATTTCCCCATTAACACAATATTTTCAACCACGCATTACTTCATTTTGCATCATTAATTATATTCTCACACTCTCTTTCCTGCTGCTTCCGCCCTTAAAACTCCCCGGAACCTTCAAAACCGCCGTCGGAATACATTTTCACATTTCCAAATCAACATTCACCTCCTTCCATCATTTTCATTTTCTTATTCTTGTTCTATAAATTTCATAAATCCCCAATTGGGATCCTTGCATTCATATATTTATTTATATGGCATCTTCGGTGTTCTTTGGACGTGGTGAAGATTGGGACAAATTTGAATTGGCAAATGGCAAATGGTAAACGGCAGGTGAAAGAATTGGGGAATCACAAATATTAGGAGTCAATATATAAGTTAATCTGTATGTAATTAAACAAAGATTTAGAGAATTAATTAAGAAAATGAATGGTTTGATTTTTCAAATCTGCCATCCTCTCAACTTTATATTACCAATCAATTTAATGTTCAAATTTCTTTCTCCTCAGAATTGCCATTGGGGTTAGGGTGATTTAGACATTAAACCAAATCCATTGGATTAATAAGTTTATTTATACTTCCTAATTAACACATTAGTTATTAACATCCACCACACTATTTTTAGAACAAAAACTAAATTCAGTGTATTTAGTTATCAACCAACATTTATGACTGCAAAAATTATATTTTGACTAACATGTTATTTCTTAACATGTTATTTGACTAAAAATATTTAAAAGCCCACTACAAGTCTAGTCGAGTCGGCCAAGCTAAGTCAAAATAGGTCAAGCACATATGGACGTGCACCTTGCATGCCCACGGCCCAAAATGAAACATGTTCTCGATAGCAATCATGTATGTACCACAGCCAAAAAAAATAAAAATAAAAATAATTAAAAACCCTATGAATGACTTGCTGATAAACAAATTAATCATTCTCTTCAAATTATTCCTTAAAAAAGGATGGACTTTAGCTTTTAAAATAATAGAAATTTATTTTTATTTTTTTGCTTAATAATTTCAAATTTCTTAAAACGTTTATTTTAATTTAAAATATAAATTACTACTATTTTCTTGGGGGGGAAAAAGTGGTTGGTTGTGATGAGTCAATGCGAGGACTAGTCTTCCAGTTTAGATTACATTATACGACAGAAAACTTTGACTTAGTTATTGGAAAGCAATTTTATTGTTTTAAGAATTTATAATAATTAAAAAGAAAAAGAAAAAATAATGTTTGGAGACTTGTTAAAATTGGAGTCAACGGTGAGTTTTTTAAGAAGACGCGGTGGCACACCAGGCATGAGTAATGGCGCTTGTGCGTACTTGTTTCACACGTGTGGGCCTCCCTTTTTTAGTTCTTGGGCCCACTTGTGGACCTTATCCTCGGAGACCACGTCTTGTGGGTCCCACCACCGATTGGCCCATAGTGGTATTTTATGTAAATAACTCCAACTCTTGCCCGTGTTTTGCTACAAAAACTCTCGAGCCTCGAGGTGATGAGGTTTGCCTGACGTGGAGTTTCCAAAAATTAATCATTAAAACCTTAATTATTGCTATTGTTTTTGTTCCTGGTGTGTTCTACGGTTTGCTTTGGCCTTTCCAACCAAAATTATTTATTTATTCAATAACAAAATTATAAATTTACTTCATATTTTTTTAAAATTTGATATATATATATATATATATATATATATATGTAAATAATCCATAGCAAGTTAATTTTTGTCTTTGGAATGCGATGAAAAAAAGCTCTTTAGGAACTAATTTCCAAAATCAAGCATTATTATTATTATTATTATTTGTAAAAAAAAAAAAATCAGAATTTATTTATTTTTATAAAGGAATAATGCTTTGAATAAATAGGCGGTGGATATATATTGCTGAAAAGAAGAATTAGATACTCAAAATAATAGGCAGCTTAGTACGGAATTGGAATATATTGTTGTGTATTTATTCTGAGTATGCTTCTTTATCTTATTTTACATTATATTAATAACCAAAAAAAAAAAAAAAGTTGAGGTTTATTAAATTATAAATTTGGTCCCAACTTTTATAATATTGAAAATTATTGAGGGATGTCATGATTTTAGTGAATTATAATTTGAAGAGATTCAAACTTGTTTAATTTAAATTAATGCATTCAAACTCAAATGTTTTTTTTTCTTTAGCTTTCAAACTTTTTGATGTTTTAAAAATGTGTATGCTTTAATATTAATAATGATTGTAAAGGAAAAGCAAATTCTAAATTATTGGTATTTCATCATTGTTACAGAAGAGGAAGGAAGATGCATGATGCCTTTTCTTTTATTATTCCAATTCATCATTTTCTAATTATTATAAAAATACCTTCTTCTACTCTAAAAGTCTTAAAATGCTTTTTTTTTTTATTATTATTATTATCTTAAAATAAAACACGTTTAACCATGAAATTCTTATAATTTAGCTACCGAAATTTACACCTTAATAATTTTCAATTATTGTATCGCTACACCGAAATGTAATCTCATTTCATTCGTGTATCTATTATTTATTTGGGTGTCCCATTTATCCACCTCTAAAAACTATATAATTAAATATATAGATATAATGTTGTTTATTTTGTGGGTTTTGTCTTAAAAAAAAAAACAAATTTTAAAAAGTGTACTGGAATTAGAAAAGCCAATTTCTCACTACTGAAACTAAATCAAAATGAAATTAAAGAAGTCCTTATTTATTGCTTAATTGCTCAAGATTTTGTGGCAGTATCCAAAATCCGACAACCAACTTGAAAATGGGCCCTGGGGAAGCCCATTCTTACACAACAAAGCAAAGCAAAAGCCCATTAGTTCATATCAAAACTCCTGTCATAGCCCAAAAAGAACAAGGCGAGCCGGTTTCGGCCCATTCTTTCATATTATCTTGATTTGAAATTTGAAAAAAAAGAAAAAAAAAAAAATCATGTAATTCTACAGAAGCTTGTAGAAACAGCTGGTTCCAGAGAGAAGAATCTCGAAGCCTTTGCCACAGGGACACTTCAAACGAAGCTCCAATGAATCCCCCACTCTCTCCACTCCCACTGTTTCTTCTTCATCCTCGTCTTCCTTGCAACACTCAACAAAAAAAAAAAAAAAAAAAAAAAAAAAAAAAAAAAAAAAAAAAAAAAAAAAAAAAAAAAAAAAAAAAAAA